CACAGTCCCTCAACAGCCCTTCCGTTGCCTGCCCTCCAGCCAGCCCTAGCGACGCCCGCGCTCCCCTACGCCATATCCGATCCGCGCCGTCGATGTCGATTCATTCGACATATCCGAGGCAAGATCTCACCTCTCAATTAGAATTTTTATACCTATTATTAACTAAGTGCATAGAATAGATATGATATAACGTGTATATTGTGATTATTGGTGTGGATTCGTTTGATTAATAGTATTACAATATTTATATAACAATAATGAGATAATTTCTGCTGTAAATATATCTATGAATTAATGAACATGAAATGACAAGTTTATATATTATAAGTAGATTTTATGAGATATTATCGAGAAAAGAAATAAAATATATATACTTTATAAACATAGAAATATTACTGGTCATGCAGAAAAGAATTAACAAAAAATATATATACATATATATTTTTTTAAATATTATTTTAAAATAGTTATGATGAGAAATTATTTTTAAAGAAATTTATTTTGGAAAAAGAATATTTTTTTTGAATTAATTATGATCATATAACTGATAGTCGTAAAGCGCGACATTTCATGTGCAAAACGATCATGGTTTTCAGTTTCCTTTTATCCTATTATTATGTTAGAGATTACCTAATTGCTAATAGCTTGCATGAGAAGTTTGGATACCCCAGTAGTAAGATATTAATGAGATCTGATTACATGCGTATTCATGCTGTTGTAGACACTATTCATACTTTCCGTATTATTCGTAGTTACTATTCATTGTTTGCGGTGAAAGTTGATTTCTTCATTGTTTTTATTGCTACCGAATCTATTACAACTTTAGTCGTTACAATAAACTCGAATAAAATAAAAGTTGATCTTTTTATAAGATCTCCTTACACAATGAAAATAAAAAGTTTACAACTTTATCAAATAAACGCAGAGATCGTTTATCGGTCTTCTGCTTGCGTGGGATCTTTGTCTATGTCGGGGTTTATCCGTGGACCACCATCGATCAGATCTGATTGCTGAAAAATTAGGCAAGGCTTCGTCTATCCGTGAGGAGATCTAGAAACAGAAGCGCTTATCTCGATAACGGCGAGATAATTGCTCTTCTTAGAATTACCACAACGGGATAATACTAAGGATTGGATGCGGGTGATGTGGATCTGACGACTCTCGATCTCTTTGCGTTGAAGAACTCGATCCGATCTCTCCTCCTCCTCTCTGAAATCCGTACACCTTCAGTCTTCAATCGCGTTGAAGAACTCGATCCGATCTCTCCTCCTCCTCTCTGAAATCCGTACACCTTCAGTCTTCAATCCGGTAGGGCTTCGCCAATTCTTCAAAATTCCAGCTCTTCAAAAATGAGGGTCTGAGGCTTGTATTTATAGACCCGGGGGAGTTTGGAGCGGTTAAAACCACCTAAAGGCCCAAATATACGTTGGAGACACCCCAGGGTGTCTCCACTTGATCCGGGACACCCTAGGGTGTCTCCCCTTGATCCGAGACACCCTAGGGTGTCTCGGTCATGGCCGAGACACCCTAGGGTGTCTCGGCCTTGGACGAGACACCTTGGGGTGTCTCGCTTGGCCGAGACACCTCGAAGTGTTGAAACGCCACTTTTTTGTATGTTTGTTCGTTTCCGCCGTAACTTCTTCGTCCGAACTCGGATTTGAGTGGTTCGAAGTACGTTGGAAAGCCGACAAGGAGTTCTATCAGCTCCGATGGTTGGATCATCTGTAGAGTTAATGAGACACGAAGAGCATTGTTCCTTTTGTAAACATCGCGAGGCTCCCGATTAGCCCGTACCTTCGTTAGTTCACGTAGTTCGTCGATTTACTTCAAGCGTTCATCGACATCAATCAAACTCCTGTGAACCGGATAGTGACGTTCATCGTTGTTCCTTAACACTGAGCTGTTCGTGGAGACCTATAGGTAATTTTCGATGCCTACATTCATGTCGTACGATTTTTATTTTAATATATTTGATATACCATAATGTTGTTGTATAGAATTAGTTTTATTTATTATCTCTTTATTGTGATTGAGAATCCTTAGTAGTTCATGACTTAGTGGCCTCGTGCGTCATGAACAGACCTAGTGACATGTGTAGGTGTGTTGACTGAAATTAGGTGGTGAACCAGAGTTTTAATAGGGATTTTGATTGTTGACTTAGAAAGAACGAGAAGGTTAGGATGGGAAAGTCTTGGTTCACATGATCAAATGAGATTGTTGACTTATCTTCCAGACTCGCACCAGTGACCTGTTTTGTCCTGGGGTTGGTTTGTTGGAACAAGTGACCTGCTTCGCCACTTGGGTCATTGACCTGTTTCGTTACCTAAGCTTTGCCTGAGTTCAGACCAGGCCGAGGTCGGATTGCGTGTACTCCTCTAGTTGTCTATTTCGCGGGATTAGATGAGCGTAGGGGATTGTGAACAATCAGTCTTTCGGTAATGCGAACTTGGACCTATTTGAGAGGTGGACCAGTGAGTTTTAGGATGGTTAGTATTCGACCCAGTTACTATATGTATATAGTTGTATGTTATCATGTTTAGTAGATGATTACATCTTGATTTATTAGATTTCTAGTTGTATGTACCCTTATTTTTCCTATTATTATTTTTTTTTTGTCTTGGTCGTTCGATCGTTTCTATTTCTCTCTGTGGGATCTTGTTGTGTGCCATGCACGCTGATGTACACCTATTTTCTCTGGTGTACGTTAAATTTAGGAGTCAGACAGCCTCAGTTCGAAATCGTACAGGAGCCAGAGGATTCTCAGCATGAGTGTCTTACAGACGGAGTAGAAGAACAAGTTGAAGCTTAGCTATTTCCTTAGTTATTTGTTGGTCCTTAGTTTATTCTTTTACAGTATTTTCTATCTTTTCCGTTGAACGATGTATTTTATAGTTCTTCAGTATTCATTTGTTCAGTTTTGTATAAGGACATGTTGATCCGAATATTATGTATTGGATGATATTCACTTGTGATATGAATATTCTGTTCTGAGTTGTTTATTATATTCTCGCTATCTGTGATCGGGGACCTGTGCTTTTATATTTATTTCTTGATGCTTAGCGTATTAGGTTGAGGAGGAATATTTCTTTTTATTTATTCTTCTTAATCTAATACGTCACGGGTTTATTCACGTTCCGATTCTTCGGTATTTTGGGAAGCTGATATTACTGATATTACTGATATTTTAAGAATATAGGTGAAACTGATATTACTGTTCTAAAGAGGATTATATTGATTAGGTTGTAATTGAGAAGTTACATATGATTGAGCTGAATATTTTTTTTACTTATAGGATCAAATGATAAAGATGCGAGCAGATACCACTCAACCTGATGGAACTCGAACAATGACCGATGAGGAAATTTGTGTAAAAATTCTCAAAGTCAACTCATGCTACATTAAGGGCTGTGGTTTTGGCCCTAGACCATCACCATTAAGGTTCTCTCGTTCTTCGATGAGTGAAATGTCTGAAAAGAATAAAGAGTTGCAAGAACAGCTTCAAGAGACCCAACAACTTGTAAGAACTCAACAACAAAAGATCCATGCGCAAAATGAGGTAATCCAAAGATTGGAGGAGCAAGCAAAAAAGTTTGAGGAGTTTATGGCTAATTTTTTCAGGCAACATCCATCAGCTTAGTATTCTTAGTGAACTTAAACTTGGAGAAATGTTTCTTTGATCGTATTGTATTTGTTATTGCTTTAGACTAACATTGTTACTTATGGTAGAAACTTGCTTGCTTTATTTATTTTAATTGTTTTGATGTACTATGGTGACAATTAATGACAATTATTTATATTTTGAGCGTTTTTCTCATAATATCATAATTATTGATGAAATAAAATTTTCTCATTATAAGTTTTCTCGCTATATATTTAGGTCGATGGAAGTAAATTTCCTCGAAAAAGACAATACAACTTAAGGTGACGAAAATATGTTTCCTCGCAATAAGTTACATACTTACGTCTTCAAAAGTATATATCCTCGTTATAGAGTATATAACTTACGTCATCAAAAACATATTTTCTCGCTATAGCGGTACAACCTACAACGACGAAAGTAATATTCCTCTCTATAAGCTACATACTTACATCGTCAAAAGAATATTTCCTCGTTATAGAGTATACTGCTTACGTCGACAAAAACATATTGCCTCGCTATAGTGATACAACCTATAACGGCAAAAGTAATTTTCCTCGCTATAGACCATATTACCTATATCGACAAATATAAATTTCCTCGTAATTGAATTTCTTTGGCGAGGAATATAGGGTACAACCTACAACGACAAGTTTAAATTTTCTCTTCTTTGAGTCACTACAACAAAAAAGCTAATCGACGAGGAACAAGTTTGTCGCTGAAATTCGAAATTTCCTCGCCGTAGTGTGTTGGCGAGGAAAAAACTTTGGTCACCATTTCCTCGCGGTAGAGTGGTCAAGAAAAGTTTCTGCGAGGAATATTATAATTTCTCGCGAAATCCTTTTTGCGATGAATATATTCTTTTCTCGTTGTTACTCTTTAGCCTCGATATTTTTCCTCACCTAATCTCATATCTTTTTCATCGCTAAACTATAGTTTCCTCGCCAATGATACGTGAATAATATTTAATTTATATATAATAAAAGTTCTAAAAAACTATTTTCGTCGTTGCAAATATCTTTCGGCGATGAAACTGTTCCTCACCAAAGGTAAATCTTTAACGAGGAAATTGATTTTCTTTATTATATGTATCTTTTTCTCGTAGAAATAGTTCCTCAGTAAATGGACTCAAAGACGAGAAAATTTAAATTTGTCATTGTAGGTTGTACCCCATATTCCTCGCCAAAGAAATTCAATTACGAGAAAATTTACATTTGTCGATATAGGTTATATGGTCTATAACGAGGAAAATTACTTATAATGAGGAAATTTTAGTTCATCAATAATAATGCTATTAAGAGAAAAACGCTCAAAATATAAATAATTATCATCAATTATATATCACCACAGTACATCAAAACAATTAAAATAAATAAAGCAAATAAGTTTCTACCATAAGTAACAATGCTTGTCTAAAGCAATAACAAATGCAACATGATCAAAGAAACATTTCTCCAAGTTTAAGTTCACTAAGAATACTAAGCTGATGGATGTTGCCTAGAAAAATTAGCCATAAACTCCTCAAACTTTTTGGCTTGCTCCTCCAATCTTTGGATTACCTCATTTTGCGCATTGATCTTTTGTTGTTGAGTTCCTACAAGTTGTTGGGTCTCTTGAAGCTGCTCTTGCAACTCTTTATTCTTTTTAGACATTTTACTCATTAAAGAACGAGAGAACATTAATGGTGGTGGTCTAGGGCCAAAACCACAGCCCTTATAATGTAGCCTGATTTGACTTTGAGAACTTTTGCACAAATTTCCTTATCTGTCATTGTTCGAGTTCCATCAGGTTGAGTGGTATCTGCTCGCATCTTTATCATTTGATCCTATAAGTAAAAAATATATCCAGTTCAATCATATGTAACTTCTCAATTACAACCTAATCAATATAATCCTCTTTAGAACAGTAATATCAGTTTCACATATATTCTTAAAATATTATAAAAGCATTCATCATTAACACGTTACTTACCTATTTTTCCTTTGCTCCCAAGTCCCATCCTTTTTTGTGCTTCTATGCTATGTTTCAAAACGATCAATTGCACCTTGCATCTCTTTAGTCTGTGCTGTCTATTGCATTCAAACATATTTTCTTTTTCAACATATATATATGTACACAATTAAGTTCCAAAATTATAAGCAATAAAAAGTGTTTACAATTTGCTCTTGGTGTGACATAAATGATTTTAACCCAGCTGTGGTGATATGTCAACTTTGACCTATTAAGAACATTCTTCTCTGAGCGAATCTAAAATTATTAAGATATACAGTTAGAAAGAAGTAAATGAAAAAAAAAGTAATGCGTGGAGAAAAATAAAAAAAAGATATTGTACCTTAAACTTTTTACTAGAAAAATGAGTGCAAAGAAACTCTCATTCTTCCAGAGTCTTGACAGCTTCATGTTTGTTTTTAATTGCCTCCTCAATTGTTGAAAACTGCTCAAAATGTTTCTTCAACTTATAACGAAAATTACAATATACGGCCTGACATATTGTAATTACATATCCCTGGACCCGAGGGAGCGACATGTCAAATTCAAACTTATTCTGCACAAGTATAATTTCATGTCAAACTAAATATAACAAATCAAAGCAACCAATATAATGCCTTTAGCAAAACAAATCATATGTCAAACTAAATATAACAAATCAAAGCAACCAATATAATGCCTTTAGCAAAACAAATCATCACTAACATGCATTCTTTTGATATAACAAATCAAAGCAACCAATATAATGCCTTTAGCAAAACAAATCATCACTAACATGCATTCTTTTCATCAAGTTCTCCACATCTATTTTTTCAATCTTCTTCCATTTTTCCACATGCTTTTCAACTTTTGAGGAGCACTGCATCTTAATGGAGGACGGTGGTCCTGGCATGGCTGCATGATAAGGGCAATAAGTTCGGGAGATATAGAAAACTAAAAAAATAAAAGCCAAATAAAAGGATGGAAGACATAACTAAGGGTCAAACTGGTCTACTGAATTATATAGAGAACGTTTTTAAGGGAAAAAGGGATTAATGATGGTGGCGATGAATCTGTTTGAGGACCTCCCCTTCTACATTTGCTTTTAATCGCAACATATAAAAAGACAATATCTCCAAAAAAGAACATAAACACAACATATCAGCAACTTGATGAACATAATAAAAGAGAAACACATTCCCATTTTCAAGCAAAGAAGAGTCTATGATCCCAAGTTAGATATACTTCTCATTCTTCAAACACATGAACTTTAATGTACAAAAGGATAAATAAGATCCACTCTAAACATAGTCAGCAGTTTGAAAGAAACTATTAAACTGTTTAAATTACTAACCTCAGAATGCTCCAATCTTCATATTTTCATAATGAGCTCTTCATTTCGGTGAATCACTGCCTACACGAAGGAGGCTCAGACCGTTGCCTTTTAGGCTCTTGGTCCCAGAGCCTCAAAGAAACGCAGAGGTTTTCTTCCTCGTCATCTGAATTCTTCAATGTCGATAGATTCTTCAGCTCAGGGTTTTCTTCCACATGGTAGGCATGATAACGATAATATCTCAATAAAGATTATTTGAATAAGTTGTGTAACTATTGTTATTGATGTGTAGAAACTCTAGAAGTTCAGTTTTGCATAACATATTTTAGCATGATAATACCTTTCTGGTATTTATTGCTTGCTATCCAATAAATAACCAGACGTGATAATATTTTAGCTTTGCTCTCCAACAAAAGTAAAAACACAAGAAGAACAGTGGAAAAGATAACAAAAGAGCTGCTCACCATTCGGAAGTTCTCAAATGAGACACATCCATCTTTATTAGGTTCTAATAATAACAAAAGAGCTGCTCACCATTCGGAAGTTCTCAAATGAGACACATCCATCTTTATTAGGTTCTAATAACTTAAACTGAAACCTGAGATATGAAAGAGTTCTCAAATGAGACACATCCATCTTTATTAGGTTCTAATAACTTAAACTGAAACCTGAGATATGAAAGATCGTCTTCTGTTAGATCTTTGAATAGAGCCTGCATGCAGAGAATAGTAGGTCTGAAGAATCAGATAAAAGTCACTAAACACACAAGTAATAGGAAAGGTTATATACATGATGAATGACATATATTAAACAGTAAAAGTAATAAACATGTTTGACATGTTAAGCCAATAAGCATACACAAATATGACCTGATTGGTGTTTTAATATATGCAACGGTTACAAATTAGATAAAAGAATTTTCCTTGACGCATCAAAAAAAATTAAACAAATGACCAAATATCTCAAATGAACTCAATGATTAAAGAGGCATATAGTAACAAAGTAGTGCACATTAAAACCATAGCAGAGACTTCAAAAATAAACAGACTAATAGCAAAGACTAAGACCTCATCGATAAAGATGGACACATATTGTTTTTCAAACAACATTTGATCTGTGAGCATGCTGAATTCATTAGTATACAGATTTACATTGAAGGACAAACTATGTTGAAGAAAATAGAAAATAAATGGAAGCAAAAGATGACCTTGAATAGTAATCTGATCATGTCGTTTCCGGTGATTATCAGGTTCACTATAAATAGAAAACAAAGATTATGTTAAAGGTTAAAAAAGTGTAAATTACCTTCTACGATTTAAGAATGCACTGAGAACCGAGATGAAGGAAAAAACAAAAGTTACTCTATAGGATAGTAGTCCAACTCCATGGCATCAAGATTAAAAGTGCAGGGCAAGGTAAGAGATTCAAACGGGGCATGGACCGCTTCACCTGGTAGATTAACTTGCACAGATGTGAAAACTCTTCTTATATCATCCACCATTCTATTACAGTCCTAAATAAGGTACTTGACCTTCATTGAATATATCCGGACAAGACCATAAAGAAGGTGCCCTGATAATCTCAGAGCAATTGGAACTTAAGGGAACATGCATGATACATTCTATTGAAGAAAGATGAAAGCTGAGTTAAATGCTCCAAATTCAGCAAGATATAAGTGAAACACATACTTCCTAGTGTAGAATTGAATGATTACTTAAGCTTCTAGCTTCTACTCGTTCAAGTTCCTAATTTGGCATCATTCTAGGGTTATCATATTGAAACCCCTTCATTTCTATATCTTTACTAGGTGAATCTAAAAAAAATATTCAAATTATCTTATTAATATGTGAATAAATCAACCTTTAAAGATTGTGGAGAAATATGCAGAAGTTTACTACACTATGATCCGCACTAACATAATAAAGAAGATTAAAAAGCGAAGAAAATTAAAAACGCTAATTTCTTTTGACAAATATGGGCTTTACAACATCAAATTTTACTGAAACAAACAATCCAACCCAATTCTCTCCAAAAGATAATTCTCTTTAACCAATTCCTTGGGAAGAAACAAACTTTACTCCACGAAATTAATAAATCGAAACCTAACAATGACAAGAAACTTGAAATTCTAGAAAAATCATACATATTCTTCAATATATGGTTAGAATGAAGCTTTATACTTTACTGTTTGCATCCCGGAAAAACGGAAAAGGAGACATCTTTACTACGAGGAGATCAACAAAACAATACCCCCAATATCTCTTGTTGAAGATAAGCTTCAAACCATTATTCTTCACTGGAAAAAAAATTCATACAATCAGCCCAATTCTCCCCAGAAAAAAAATCTATCTTTAACTGATTCCATGCAAAAAAAAGAAAAAAACCAACAACTTACAATGGGAAACCCAAAAACCCTAGAAAAAGTGGGGTATGTGAAATCTTTACCGGAGATATCAAAACCCAATTCCTAAAAAATAAAATAAAAGTCTCGATAGCAACCCTAATCTATTGACGAACAAGGAAGAAATTTCCCCCGCGAAAATCAAGAAACTGAAACCTAACAACAAAACTAGTCGGAAAAAACCTAGAAAGCTGGGGGAAAGGAGGAATTTTTACCACAGAGATCAGATAAAAAAATCAAAAGAGGGAGGAGGGAAAGGGAGAATCAACGAACCAGCATAAAAGGCGACATCGATTTCGTTGAGCTGGTGTTTTTTGATCTTTCGCTCCAAGTGAGCAGCGATCCATACGATCCCTAGGGGGCTCTTTTTTGCGAGAAAGGTGTGAGAATAGAACATTCCCTTCCCTCAACATCTTCTTTGATTCCTAGGGTTTTGAGCTATGGGCTGAGGCAGTTAACAAATTAGGGTTTTTGAGAGAGAAAGAGAGAGAGAGAGAGAGAGAGAGAGGAGATTAGGGGAGAGAGGAGGTCGGGTGGGGGGAGGGGGGAATTTGGGAAGAGGCGGTGATTTTTTTTTTTTTTTTTGGGGGGGGGGGGGTAGGGGAATTTGGGAAAAGTGGGAATTTTTCGCGGGATGAAATTTGGGACGGCGGGAAGTGACAAGGTTAGGGTTTTTTATTTTATTTTAAATTTAAAAGCAACATAAACGGAAATTCTAGGTTTTGCGTATTTTTCCGTCAAACTAATAATGAGGAAATTATTATTTTCTTACTAATTGATTCTTTTAGCGAGGAAATGGTTCCTCATAAAATAAAAAAATTTAGTGAGAAAACCTTCAATTTGTCGTTAATGAATTTGACGGGTGTTGCATATTTTTCCACCAAATTAATAATGAGGAAACTATAATTTCCTTGCTAATATGTTCTTTTTGACGACAAAACGGTTCCTCGTAAAACAAAAACTTTTAGCGAGGTAACCTTGTAGGCGTCAAAAAATGCTGAAAGATATCCAAATACAGCTCAAGAGGAAATCATCCAAAAAGGCAGAAAAAACACAAGTCTTGACTGTCTCGCCGTGCGAGACAGACTTGACTGTCTCGCCGCGCGAGACAGTCTTTACTGTCTCGCCGTGCGAGACAGTCTTTACTGTCTCGCGGGCGAGACAGACTTTTACTGTCTCGCCCACGCGAGACAGTCTTTGCTGTCTCGCCGTGCGAGACAGAATTTACTGTCTTGCACGTGAGACAGTTTTCAGATGGTCAAAACTACCTTTGCAACTGCCCTACACGTGGCCACTAACTGTTCAAGAACGTGGGAAACGTCGTGGGCGAGAATCACGTGGATAACTGCCAAAATAACGGAGTTTGAAACGTGGGAAAGCAGTTACATCGAAAACTGCCAGAAATGTAGACAGTATTTTACTGTCTCGCTGGGCGAGACAGCAAATTTACTGTCTCGCTGGGCGAGACAGCAAACACTGTCTCGCCCGCCGAGACAGCAAATGCTGTCTCGCGAGCACTGTTCATCCAGAGGGTTATAAATACCCCCCGAAGGCCATTTTCACAGGGGCAGCCAGCAGAGATCAGAGGCTGATCATAGGGAGCATTTCAGAGCAATCCAGAGAGCAGAGGTGCTGATCTTACGGCCAATCCTTGATAATCAGGCTTTGACTTGATTTCAAGAAGAACGACTATCTTACATCGATAAGATATCGTTTCAATTTCTCACTTCGATAAACGAAGTCAGAATCATAAACCCCTCACGGTTCAATCAGAATCTGTGATTTGGTGGTCCACGAGTCAAAGCGCTCCCGGCACAGGCAAAGATCCCACGAAAGCAGTGATCCAAACAACGATCCTGCGTTTATTTTCTCAAGAGTTGTAATTTTCTTTTTGTTGTGTAAAAGAGTCTTATAAAAAGGCTGTTTTCTTTGAATTTATTGTAATCGACCGAAGATATAATGAATTCGACAACAAATTCGACTTTTGGCGAAAACAAACTGGCGACCACAGTGGGAGCCAACGGTCTCGCTGCCGAGACCGTCGTGTCGCAGCCAACCATCAAGATCCTGGTTGAATCAACAGTCGAGTACGAGTTCGACCAAGCGAAGTTCGAGGAGTATTTGTTATTCTCATCTGTAAAATCTTCTTTGCCTCGCAAATGCAGGAAGATTTCATCTTTGTCGAAGTTGTCAAACACTACAGATGAAGACTTTCGCTTAATTGTTGCTGAGAATTCTACTCGCAACCTCTCTGCTCATAATGACTCTTCGCCAAGTAAAGGGTCATTAAATCAAAGCCCACCTGCATTGACGAAAAGAGCTCGTCAAAGACAACGCCAACGCCGTGCTCGCCAAATAGCTAAGGCCTTGGAACAAACCGACGGAGTTCGTTATCTTGCGGACTTAGAGTCGAGGAGACATAGAGTGGTTCAGTTGTCTCAACGACCAATCACTCATATCTCTGCTAAGTTAGTGATGGAGGAATGGACTACAGTCAAAAGGGCTCGTTCAAACCTCAAAGAACGTATACAAAAACGTCGTGCAAAAGCTGCTAATGCCCATGCTCTCTCACAACAAAGACGAGAAAAGAGGAAGGAAATGGTGACCAAAGAATCACCAAAACTTCGTCAAGTTTGGATTCCAAAGTCTGGACTTATGCAAAATCAGCATTCGGAGCCCGTTAAGACCCCATACCCGCAAATGGGTGGTTTCAGACGTGCGACTCCCAACATAACCTTGGATCGCTCAAAAACAAAAATAAATTGTCCTGAGAATGCCAACAAGGTTTTATACCCCCAGAAGAAGACGCATTCACCAAATGATATCGTCATACCTGGGAGATCATACCAACAGACGATACGATTTTTTGGCAATCATACCGATGAATCGTATTATCAAGTTGAAGTTGTGAATAATTTTCGAAAGAGAGTTATTCGAGAGATAAACTCTCGTTGTTCCTGTGCGCGACTCGTTAAAACAGCATTATCAGAATGTGACTGTTTCAAACGAGAAGTCATCCCACGAAAAGTCTCTGTATTATCGAAACCTAAGCCGAGACATTTCCGCAAAAGAAGAGCAGCTGTCCAAAATGATGAATTCCCTGAAGTCACCATCAACGTGGCTGATAGAAGAAAGTCTAAACAGCATTCAAGTGACTCAAATCCCGACTTTTCCCCGAAAGGAAAAGTCAATCCATAGGCACAATCAACGCCGGTGTTGCTGATACTAAGGCTTTGAAACAAGCCAAGAAAAACACTGCTCGACGACGAAGAAGGTCCATCCGACGAGCACACCTCCGAGAAAATCAATCCCAAGTCCAACGCAAGGATTGCATCTCCGAAGATCTGCCTAAGCATTGCGTCCATACTCCAGAACGCATACTTCGAGGTAATGAATCTAATTACAAACCTCGGGTGATTCAACTTAAACGCGACCCTCAGTGGTGCGTTGTCCAATCAAAACACAGCCCTGTCAAGGGAAAACAAGCACCTCAAGAGTGCGTCCAAAACAAAACAAGACCCTAAGGGGTCTGTTCCGTCAACTAAACGCAGGCCAAGGCCTAGTGTTTATAAGTCAAAACGCGACCCTCGCACCTCGATTCCCGAATGCGATAGGGTCCGTCAAGTTCAACAAGAACCAATTTTGCCCATCCAAGGACAGGGGGTTTCATCCTCGATGAAGAATTGTCCTTGGGTCTCTGATTTGCGAGAGTTACTCTCCAGAGAAAAACCAATGCAACGAGCAGCTCATTCATGTCATTGTGAGCGGCTTATTTCAACGGTCCTCTCCGAATGTCATTGTTGTATGCCTGAACCTCGCAGGTCTGTATTCGACAGACTGTCTGACGTCGCAAGACCTACCAAACGACGACGTCATAAGAAGAAAGTTTCTGAAGCTGAATACCCTCAGGTTACCATCAACATGACCAGCAGAGGAAAAGCCCCGTGTCCCAGTTCCAATGAATCAGAAAGAAGCCATTCCCCGACCATTCGAGAAAATTGTGATGAGTTCGAAGGGGTATATCGACATACTCGGTCACGGACTGGAGCTATCCGCCCGGTTAATTACCAAAAGTTAGCCCAACGGATTACGACAAGTGATGAACATTCGGCAATAGCTGAATCTCAATCTTCAAGCTCTATCGGAGCACAGAAGGTTTCTGTTTACATGACGGGAAATCCTGAAGACATAGCCAAAAGAGTTGATGAACATCACGTCATGCTCCAGGCGCAACAGGAAACCCTTCTCCAGATGAAGGATATGTTGGCCCAACTTCTGGCTGAAAAAGGCCAAAGACCCGAGTCTTCCCGGAGGACTACGTCAAAAGGAAAGCAGAAGGCGCACGAACACTCAGATCGTGAGACTCACAACTTAGATTCTTCTTCTGACAATGAGAAGGAGATAGAAAAAGAACTGTATCCTCAGTCAACCAAAGTAGACGAGCTAGAAGCCCGCCTTAACGCAATGGCCAACAGGAGCGAGCTTCGCGAGGAAGGAGTGATACGACCCTACCCTGCAGAATGGGATACGGCTCCCTACCCACCAAAGTTTAAGGCTCCAACGCTACAACCTTTCGACGGTACAGTCTTCATTATTACAATGGACATGGGAAACTCTTTGAGGATCCAAAGTCAAGAAAATAGACAGTCTTCATCAAGAGACGTTGAAATTCTTTTCACATTCAAGTTTGAAGAGACGAATTATATTCGTCATCGTCAACCAAAACCCATCAAAGGAATTTCAAGAAAATCAATTAAAGAAGAATGCTTAAGTAAAGAAGACAGCGAGACTTACTTCGATGTCCAGGCGTTGGAGGCACCGACGACGGTCCGGAGGGGGACCCAAAAGCATCCCTCGACGGCGGTGGAAAATGCGCCTTCTGGTCGTCGTCACTCGAGCAAGATTTCTGGGAAGCCATAGCCAGAAGACAAGACAAAGAACTAACGAGAAGAAACTCGTTTGGGAGTTCAAGGAAGAAGCTTAAACGTTAAAGCCTCTTGACATGACTAATCAACCCTATTTATAAATAATTAATGACGGTGCAGAGTTCCAAGACTCCCGACGGGTGTGGTCTCTTCGTCATCATTGCAACCGCTTGAACTTCCGATTAGACGCAGGACAAATCCCTGCGTCCATAAAGCTAGACCAAACGCAACAATCTAGAGATGTGTTCTTCCAAAAATACGCAGCTCAATTCAAGAGTATAAACGCAGGGGGTACCCCTGTTCCCAGAATCAGATATTTCGGAAAATATGTGGCTTGAGTTTTAAAACTTTGGCGCAGTTTAAAACAAAATATCTGACAAAGTCTTCTCAGAATTTAAACCCTACTTTCCTCAAAGTTGCCCTGAACGCAACACTTCTACCTTATCGACTCTCGTCAATAGAGCGATAAGTCCTCAAAGTTGCCCTGAACGCAACACTTCTACCTTATCGACTCTCGTCAATAGAGCGATAAGTCCTCAAAGTTGCCCTGAACGCAACACTTCTACCTTATCGACTCTCGTCAATAGAGCGATAA